GGCAGGGGTCCCTGCCGCCACCGCCATCGCCATCGCCATCGCAGAAACAACAACCGCTGCCATGGCCGTCATCATCGTCGTCGTACACTCCGTCATGGCTCTCCGCGACGGGGCAGCCGCAGACTGCACACCGCGAGGAGAGGAAACCCACAGCTGAGATGGTGGCAGCCCCGCATGTGACGCCAACTAGAGCGCCACCGCCTTCAGCCCTCACGTCGGTCGTCAGCGCTCCAGTGGCCGCGCCGCCACCATCCCAGCAACTGCCACCACCGCCACCACCACCACCACCACCACCACCATTGCCGCCAACGCCGCCACCGCAGGCGCATCTGCCTCCGCAACAGCCGCAAGCACCGAAACAAGACACACAACCGGCGCCGTTAGCCTCCCAGTCTCCTCCGGTTCTGGTTCCTGCCTCTGCAACCGTGCCAACGTCTCCGGGAGCTGCGCAGGCAAACCCCCCTGACGTTAGTAAGCCTTACGCCATGGTTGCGCCGTTGGGCGCAACTGCGGCTTCCCCACCCTTGCTGAATGTGGTTCCTGTGGCCGTAGATAACGCATCTTCACTAAAGAGCGAAGTGTTGCTGGCGAAGTACGGGCCCCCGGGTCCGGCGATTGTGCCGCGAGCTCTCGCCGAGCCATCGCAGCTTCCGCCCACAACTCCTGCGGCAGGCGTCGCAGCACCGTCTCTGCCGGTGTGGCTTCGTCCAAGCCCTCGGGTGGATGAGAGCAGAATAGAAGTGCCGGGGAAAGTTGCAAGTGCGCCGCCCACAAGCAACAACGTACCGGCGAGCGTAGCGGGAACGTCCGTCTCTGTTCCCTCTATTATGCCACAGCTGCAGTCCGGTCATCCGCCCCCGCTGCCGTCATATCCGAGTGTTCCAGTGGCCGTTCCAGTGGATGCCCAGCGCGTGGCACAGCAGCAACAAGCGGCGCCTCCCACGACGGCAGGATTGGAACCTGGTCTTAGCGGGCCTCCATATGCGCAGCCCCCGCCGGCCATCCCTTTGGCCATCTCGTACAGCAGTGAGGTGGTGACGCCGGCGACGGGGGTCCCACACGCGGCGGCGCCTGTTATTCGGCGGGTGAAAGTCAGCAGCAGTAGCAGCAGGAGTTCCTCCTTTGAGAGCAGTACCTCTTCAGACACGTCGTGAGAAACGTACACGATCAAACAAGAAAAAAAAAAAGAGGAGAGACTGTGGTTAGACAAACATAGATGCAGGTGGGAGGGGGTGGGGCTTTCTCTCCCTCTATCAATCTGATACTTATATATCCTTGATTACATGAGTATTCTATTGCCTGACTTGTACTATTCTGTGTGCGTTCACCAAAGACCCCGCTTTTACTCTTTTGCACCGTCACTCCCTCTGCCCGGTTTTTTGTAAGGGTACAATAGGCGTGTGTGAATTTCCATGCTGCACCGTATACCGCCGTACCGTGACCCTCTTCAGCAGGTCCTTAGCGATGCACTTAGGCGAGCGCTCGAGCTCTACCGTCGTGAGGCGTCGGCTGGCGTGTCGGTGGAGTTTGAGTGCCGTCTCGGGACATTTTCGGCCTCGAGACACACCTACGCCCACCCGTTTCCAACGCACACATGTACCCCAGCTGTGCTGGACGGACACTCGGCGACGCCTTTTTTTTTCTTTGCTGGGGTGGCGCAACCAACCTTCACTGCACTGCATGACGCACTGAAAACCCTCGGTGCCTCCATGCCGCCGCGCTCCTCCACGATGCTCTCTGTGCGGGCGACGGGGAAGGATCGTCTAGAGTACGCTATGAATGAGGCGTGCAACCGGGGCCGGTTGCTGGCGATCACAGAGAAGGAGCGGGTTTTCTTTCATGACGTGCGCTGCCCGGGGTGGGGCGCGGACTTTCGTGTGTCAGTGTCGCGGGAGCAGACGCTTGACGCGGCAACGTGGAACCCGGCGAGGTGGGAAGCGTTTACCCCGAGCGTCTCTCGCCTGCGGCAGCGCAAGTCTGTGCAGATTGATCCGCTGTTTTCGGTGGACATGGCGATGGTGCGCTCCTTCACCGATCACTCGCGATTTGTGCAGCCGTGGTCGCCCGAGCTGCAGGTGCCCTTCATTAGCGCCCCGCGAGTATCGTTTGATGTGGAGGTGGAGGTCAACATTCCGGCGCTGCACCGCATGGTGAAGCAAACTGGGCTAGTGGACTCCACGCCGCAGCGGACTGCGCTGGACCTCCTCATGCTGCTGCAGTTCCTGGCTGAGAAAAGGGAGTGATACAAGATGTGGTGAGCCTCCTGCGCCAGCAAACAGGGCGGCAACGAAGACGCATGAAACGGTTGGGCATAAAAGTGGAAAGGGGGTGGAAGGGTGGTCACAGAGAGAGAGATGCAGCTAACATGCACAATCCGATAAACAAAAGGAAAAAAGAGGGGGAAGGTGTCGATGGAGCGGCAGATATTTGTATTTATATACACATTTGTATGTGCGTGTGTGTGTGAGCCTAGCGCTGTTTGTTTTTTGTTTTATTTTGTTTTTTGTGCGGGGGGTAGTGTGTATATCCGCCACATACCGGCAGCAAGGTGCCTGTAGTGCCCCGCTACACCTGTCACGACGTCTCACACTGCCTCTTTGATTACATCTCACCCCACCCCCTGCTCTCTCTTTCTCTGTGTGTTCCTTCCTTCACACTGCTGTGCTAGGAAAGGGGGTGTCATTTAGGTTAAATCAGGTAGATCTGGCTCGCAGGCATGCTTTGGCGCCTCGTTGTGGGGAGTATCGTTGGCGGTGTCCTCTCGGCATGTCGCTCGCAGACAACCACGACCCTCGCAGCCACGGCGCCGACGTTGGATCTCATTCTGGACCCAAGCAAGGACGTTGTCCCCGTGCGCTGCGTCATTGTGGGTGGCGGTTACACAGGGTCGAAGCTGGCGTACATGTTTGACAGCATGTTTGACGTCACATTCATTGACGAGAAGAATTACTTTGAGCTCACCAACGACGTCATCCCTATTGTAGCAAACCCGTGGGACGAGCGGAACGAGGAGGCGTGCCGCCGCCTCTTCATCCTGCACCGCTACTATCTAAAACGAGCCAACGTCCTGACGGGGACGGTGGACGGGGTGGAGGAGGACGTGGTCACGTTGCGCGACGGTCGTCGGGTGCCGTACGACCTTCTCTTCGTTGCCCCGGGCGAGCGCAAGCCGTTTCCGTTTGCGACGAAGCAGCGCACCATTGCCGGTCGCGTGCAGGAGCTGCGGCACTTCAATCACTTCCTAGGCACCTGCAAAAAGGTGGCGGTCCTCGGTGGGGGGCCGGTTGGCACCTCGCTGGCGATGGACCTTGCGCGGAGTCGGCCAGAGATGCAGGTGCACCTGTACCACGCCAAGTCCGAGCTCATTCCCGCTCTGCCCACTACGAGCCGCAAGTACGCCAACAACGCCCTGCAGCGGTGCAAGAACCTATCCCTGCACCTCTGCACACGAGTGACGGACGTCGAAGGGTGCGACGCGGGTGGCAAACGCATCGATGCACATCCTCCCTCAGCGTTGGCACGGCTATTGGGCTTCGCGAGGCCGCCGGTGGAGCCGACGCGGTTTATGGTGCGGTACGACAACCTGCACTTCGAGCCTACGCCGCAGCAGTCCATCGTGAGTCAGGCGTACTTTGGCCGGCGTGAGCCGAAGTTGTCGGGCGACAGGGTGGATTCCTCCGGCGAGGAGGAGTTTGACTACGTTTTTTCAACCATTGGTGACGTGCCGCGGCCGATTCAGGCCGGAAAAGGAAAGCGCAACATTCTCACGGAGCACGAGGCACCGGATGCCCACTACCGCGTCAGTACACTGATGCAGTTGTACCGGCACCCAAACATATGGGCCCCGGGGCGCTGCAACAACCTTCCGTGGGTGCGGAGCTACGGTTCGAGCGATGTGCAGGTGCGCACCATCTTTCGTGGACTGAACTCGGTGGTGTACAACCCGACCGAGCGTTTTTTGAGCTCGCGTGACGGGGTCCAGCCACAGCGCATGGCGATTCCGCGACTGTTGGTGCGTTTAGGGAATAACGACGCTGTTGGCGCGACACCGTGGTCTGGCGGCATGGTGGGCCTCTCGGCATTTCATGAGTTTATGCAGGACCGCAACCACCTCGTGAAGGAGTTTCAGCAGCCAATCTTCTACAAGCAGCAAGACCCAGCGAAGGTCAAGCAGCGCATCTCCAATTGGGTTTCCCACGAATCGACAGACATTGTCGATTTCTCCCACTCTTAGGAGGAGCCTTACCGGTGGTGGTGGCGGCGGTGTTGTTCTTTTTTTCTTTCTTTCTTGTGTTTCTTCTCACACGCGCAGGCAGGCAAAGAGGTAGTGATGCTACAGAGGCTTTCCACGCCATTGCACGCCTTCCCCCTTCCCGATGCAATGTGTATGCTACTCGCTGCGTGGCTCGTTCTCCCCGCATCTCACCCCGTCTTCTTTTAATTCTTTCTCTTTGGCGTGTGCATCTATTACATTTATCGCCCGGACATATGAGGCCATGCCCCACCTCTTTGGTCGCTCCTCCGTGTCCTTCCTGGAACGATTTCAGTTCCTGCAGCGCTGCAGACACGGCGAACGCGCGCGGCGGAGTCGGGTACCGACAGACGCTCTTTCCCTCATGGACGTCCTGCTGCATACCAACAGCATTTTCACCATTTTTTCCCGCCTGAAACATTCCCTGGATGCTGCACAGACCAGCGGTGGTTCACAGGAGCAGATGGCGGGGGACAATTTGGCACACGCCACGTCTCACCTGCAGGAAGACATGTCAGACTTCGACAATGGGCTCTCGGAGGAGGTGCTGGGGCCGCTGCTGCTTTCTTTTCTTAGTTTTTACCTCGATCATAGCATTGGCATGGCGACCATTCGTCGCGCCTTGTGCGCGCTGTTTGAGACCACCCCGTACCTGCGCGAGGTGGACGAGGACACCGAAGTGGATCCACCGCTGAGGTCGAACATTGCCCTGCTGCTGTTGAACCTCTCGCGGGCTCTCCTTTGCAGTCAGGCCGAGGGGGAGATTGCCCTGAGGACGGCCACGCGAGAGGTGGAGCGCCGGCCGGTGTTGCCCTTTCTCCCCTGGCTGCGATCAAGCGTGGAGCACGCAACGCAGAAACCAACCTGGTACTGGTGGGCCTCGCAGGACCCGCGCACCTTGTGCCACCTCACAGGTGTTGTGTCTGTGTGCCGTAGCCCGAGCTGTGAGGTGGCCGCCGATGCGGACGCCATTTCGGTGTCATACGGTGCTTGCAGGGCTGCGAGGAAGCGCGGGCGCGAGGCATGTAACGACGCTGCGGAGGCGGCGGCATGGAAGCATAGGCGGACCTCCTCCGAGTCGCAGGCTCATCGGAGTGATCCAGAGTTCTCCGCTTGCATCGTGTTCCTTCCGTACGACGTGCAGGAGATTGTTTTGGCGTATCTTTCGCCTCGCGCCCTATCCGCTGCGGTTTCCGTCTGTAAGGCTTGGCGGCTGCTCATCGAGCATCGGTCCCCTACGCTGGGGCTTTACCTGCTTTCCGGCCGAGCCGTGACGCGGGTGTTTCTTCAGTTTTTTGAGGATGACTGGGGAAAGGCGTGGGTACGGGTGGACGAGCTGACCACCTTTCAGCGAATTGGACTGCAGCGCACGTACCTGCGATTCGCGCAGGAGCGTTTGCAACGACGACGTGCCTCTGCGGCGTCGCTTGGCGACTTTGCCGTACGCCTTCACGGCGATTGTGGGACGGCGAGCCCGCTGTGGCAACTGTTAGAGGGGCTTTGGAACGCCATTGAGGTGGAAATGAAACTGCTTCCGTTTCTGGCCCTCCGCGAGGTGCGATTCCCCTCGCTGCTCTGTGACGGGGTGCCTTTGTGTTGCTGCCGCACCATTTCGCATGGGGCAGCCCTGGTACAGATGAGGCAGGCACTGGCGTCGCTGCGGAGCTCCGACCAGCCCTACCTCTCACTCGTTGAGGAACTCCTTAGACAATGGTCGGTGCTGCGTGGCGTGGCGCATGCACCGCCAGCGGCGTTGCCCTAATGCTTCTCCAGTCGGTGCCTTTCCCACCCCCGCCCGGCCCAATACCCTCCGGCACTGCAGTTGGACACCTTCATTGGGGTCATCACAAGTTACGCGGCCATCGCTGCGTGGGAAGTTTACAGGGCGAAGCTGCACGACGGTCTGCTGCGTGGCGTGTGCTGCGTATGGGCCCATGCAAGTGTGACGTTTTGCCCCCACCCCGTTTCCCGCTTCGCGCTTTTTTGTCGTTGCGTTGTCTTGTTTTAGTTGCCCAAGTGTTATTTTGCTTCTTTGTTTGTTTGTTCTGGCGTCCCTTGTGGGTTGGGGGTGTGGGGAGCCCGTAGGGTAGCAAAATTGCTTCGAGACAAACCGTACACACAAGATCGCGCTTGCACTCACAGACACAGCGATGTCGGCGGAGGAACGCTTTGACTCCATGCTCTTGGCGATTGCCCAGCAGCACGATGGGATTGACGCCATCCTTGACACCTTCTTCTCCTTCCTCGGCAGAAAAACGGACTTTTTCACGCAGCCGCCCCTGGCGCGCGCGGCGGTGCAGCGGGCGCTTGACCGCCACCTAGCCCAGGCCGAAGAGCGGCTGCGACAGAAACAGGCGGAAGAGGAGCGACAGAGGCAAAAGGCTGCCGCCGCCTCACGCGTGGAGGTGTTGGAGGACGAGGAGGACGTGGCTGCCAAAGCAGCTGCGAAGGCAGCCGCGGAGGCCGCCAAGCGCAAGTCGGAAATGGAGAAGGCGGCCAATGCGGTGGCCAACGCCAAGGAGGACGAGGACGGCATGAGGCCAAAGGGGCTTCCCCCGAACGTGGGGAACGGGTTCGACTACGAACACTATATGTTTTCGCAGACGCTGCAGGAGGTGGAGGTGCGGGTGCCGCTGCCCATCGCGAATGCCAGGGGGCGGGACCTCGACATCGCGCTGCAGCAGCGGCACATGCGCGTGGGCATGAAAGGGAAGCCGCCCATCGTGGACGGCGACCTGTTCGCCGCCGTGAAGGCGGAGGAGTGCATGTGGACCATCGATGATGGCTGCACGGTGGTCGTCACGCTGACGAAGATGAACCAGATGGAGTGGTGGAAGACGGTGATTGCGGGCGACGCTGAAATCGACCTGCAGAAGGTGGTGCCGGAGAACTCCAAGCTAGACGACCTCGACAGTGAGACGCGGCAGACGGTGGAGAAGATGATGTACGACCAGCGTCAGAAGGCGATGGGGCTGCCAACCTCTGAGGAGCAACAGAAGCGGGACATGCTGGCCAAGTTCATGGCGGCACACCCCGAGATGGACTTTTCGCAGGCAAAGATTTGCTGAAGGGGAGGCCCCAGCGTGTGTGTGTGTGGTGTGTGGAGACTTCACTGCAGCCACATTATTTTTCTCGTTTTTTTTTTCCTTCTGAGACGCAAAGATGGGAAGAGGAGGACGAAGAGAAGAAACGAAAAACAAGAATAAAAAATGTGGGAAAAAAGAAAAAAAAACTTAAAAAAGGAAAAAAGGAAGCAAGAAGGACGCGTTACTTCTAACAACTGCTAGAGATATTATTGCTGCTGTTATTTATGGGCCTAAGGGAGCGAGAGACGAGAAGACGAAGCGGCGAGCAGCGCACGACAATCGCGGGCCCCAAGAGAAACGCACCGCCTTTTGGTTTCCTGTGGTGACTCTTCTTGCGGTTTGCGGCAGTTGGCGGCCGTCGTGCGCTCCTCCCCTGCCTTTCTTCTTCCGCCGCCACTGTTTCTTTTTTTTTTTTGTTGTTGTTGTTGCTGCTGCTTATTTTCATTCTTGTTTCTTCCTCAGCTGAGGGGTGGCAAGTCCGCCAAGCCAACAGGGACATCAAAGGCAAGGCTGAACGGAAACGCACCCGGAAAAGGAACGAAGGCGGCACGCCATTTGTTGTTGCGGACAGAGACGGAAGCGGCCTGCCAAATGAAAAGGGGAGGAAAGGCAAAGAATCCTCTGTGAAGGTTTTTTCACGCCCAGAAAGGACTGCACGTCGTTGCTGCGTCCCGCGTGTCTTCTCATACCCGTACCCGCGGCTAGCATTGAGATCAATTTGCCGTGGGCGCAACTACTGTCGCGGCCGCCGCACCCGTGGCCTTGCGCGAGGGCTGCTGCCAGGCACTTCCCTGGAAATCGAAGAGCCATCGTTGGTGCCTGCCTCCCCGAAGCTCCATGCCACCCCTCTTCAAATCAAAGCCTATTTGTAGGTCTCGTTGCATTTGTTTAGCTTGACCGTTGCGCCTTTGGCTTCGATGATATTATGCTCGCATCAGGGGGAGGTGAGGGGGAGATGTGGACTTTACCCTCCGGTGACTTCCCTTTGCCCAGCGGGGGGGGGGATCAACAGGTTAGTGAAAGGTGTGGCAAGGCCCAAAGGAGCCGCCCCATTCGCAAGCAGCGCGTGAAAATAATGTTTGGTGTTTTATGCATGTGTGATGTTTGCTGTTTGTTTGTTTTTGATTTGTCTTTGCTGTGCGCTGGGTTGGGGGGGGGGGGGGGGTTCCTCTTCCACATGGCGAGTTTTGTGCTGCTTGAGGCGTTGTCCAGCGGCTGAGGCAACGGGTGGCGTGTGCCGCGTGTGTGATGCAGCACTGTCTTTCTTACCCCCTCCCCCTTGCTGATATGCCAGTCGCCCTGTCAGATCCCTCATATT